CTTTTATCTATTGTTTCTTTTATATCAACCGGCAAGTCATATTGTTTCTATTTTATTCTTTTATTTATAAAATTATAACTTTTTCTTTTTTAATTATTCATCACTAGTGTACTTGTCCGTGCTTCGCGTGAAAAAAAAATTCAATATATTTTAAAATAATGAGAAAATGGTCTAAAACTCTCTCAACCTATACTTGAAATTCCAACTACACACTGCAACTTCACGAGTGTCCCATTACTCACCTGAACTATATATTTCTCTATATTCTACACACCTAAGTGCTGACCTTAGCACGCAAACCAAAAAAATCCACCTGCGTGATCCCACGCGCTGGGTCCCCCGCCTTGAAACTCCCGTTTCTTGTTTTTCTCCCATTTCTTGTTTTCCCCCATTTCCCTCCTAAACTGTAAAAGAATAAAGAAAAATCCAAAAATCCTCTTTTCTCATGTTCATCTCCTTTTCCATTTTTGGTAATCATCAAACGATTTTGCATCATCGAACGATTTCACTGCGTATTGTCAACTCCATTTCATAGTTTATTGATTGATTTAGTAAAATGTTAGTTCTTTATCCCTTAATTTTGAGCTTGTGATTTATCCCCTAGGGTTTCTGTTGATTCGTGTAATTAAGAACAATATTGTGTGAAATCTTATGTGTGGCTTACGATTATAGTGTTAGGTGTTCATTTACACCAGATTATGCCACGTTTTTCATGAAACTTGCTTTTTAATTTCTTGTCTAAGTCGCGTAATTTTGTACTTTGTTCGTCTTAGTATTATGTTCATCGAGTGTTGTATTTATGTTCTTCTTAGTATATATTCATCGAGAAGCTGCTAGTTTGCTATTGTGTTGTATTTATGTTCATAGAGATGCTAAGTATTGTGTTATATTTTGTTCGTTTGCTACTGTGTTGTATACTGTTCGTTTTTAAGTACTATTCTATTTTTTGGATTGTCCTCATATTAGAGTATGTCTATAATTACTACTCTTTTTTATTGCCTTCCGGTAAGTGGTGAGTGGGTTTACTTTGATTACTCTAAGGTGGCACCATGGTAGGGTGTTGGATTTAAGTAGTGGGGAACCAATATATAATGGTGGAAAATTTACAAAATTTTTGGATGTTGATGTAAATAGAATGTCATATTTAGAGTTGAAAGACTATAGTAGAGAATTGGGATATAATACAACTTGCACCTTTATTATTAAAGCACCTAACTATGGAATTTTGGTGGATGTTGATAATAATAAGGATATTTTAGACATGATGTGTTCCTTGGAAGATGGGGATAAAAAGGAAATATTTGTTAGGCATTTGGTTGATGAGGCTATTATGACTCCATGTTAATAGAAAATGGTAATCATGTGGATATGGGAGAATATGGTGCATCTTTTAATACAAGGCCTAATGAAGTGAAAACTTTAACTTTGGTGTAGTTCACATCCTTTCACTACCAAACCTACTTTCACTACCACACCTCCTTTGAATACTTCTACTGCAGATGGTGCTAATGATGATGAAATAGATGTTGGTCTTGCTGGACCTGATTTCTCGGAAGAAGAAGTAGAGAGTTCTGATTGTTCAACTGAGGATAGTATTGAGTCAGAATCTGAAATAGTTGGAGATGATGATGAGGAAGAGTATGTTAGTGATGTACATGAGGAGGTTAGGGAGTTGATGACTGAAAATAGAAGTTTTTAAAGGAGGAAAAGAAGGAAAAGAGTAGCAGCTGATAATGAAGAGGTACAGTAGGTGAAGCTGGACCAGATCTAGGTTTTGATGAAACTGGAACAGGTAAAGTAAGTCATGAAGGAAGGCTAGGAGGTGATGAGCCTTACTTTACAAGTTCTGATGAGGGTAGTTTTGGGTTAGAGGAAGATGAGTGTTGTAATGATGATGAACATGAATCTGGTAGATCAAAAAGGGTAAAGTTGTCAAGAAAGAGGAGTGCAAAACATCAAAAAATCATTCATGGTCCTACTACAAAGAAAGTTGTGTCACAATTGGGCATGGTGTTTGAAGATGTGAAAGAATTTAGACAAGCAGTAACTAAATATACAGTTAGAAGGAGGGTTCAAGTGGAGAAGTTGGTGAATGAGCCAAAGAAAGTTAGAGTTAGATGCAAAGATGGTTGTCCATGGATTTTGTATGGATATCTTGACATGACAACAAATTATTTCATGATAAAAACTTACAATCCAAAACACACTTGCAATAAGACAACTAGAAATTACTTGTGCAATGTAGAACTTTTATCTGAAGCCTTTAGAGAAAGAATAACTAAGCAAACATACATAAGAGCCTTCAAGTTGCAGGAGTTGATTATGAAAAAGTTTAAACTTCATGTTGGCAAGACTACTGTGAGAAGAGCAAGAGATAAAGTAATGGTGAAACATATAATAGGTGATTATGTTGTTGAATTTGGAAAGATACTTGACTATAAGGATGAATTGTTGAGGACCAATCCAGGGACCAGTTGTGTTGTAAAAGTTGGTGAACCTGATGCAGAAGACAAATCAATATTTCAGATTTTTTACATCTATTTTGATGCTTTAAAGAAGGCATGCATACATTGTAGGAAATGCATAGGCTTAGATGGTTATTTACTTAAAGGGCTTTGTAAATGCCACCTGTTAGTTGCTGTGGCCAGCGATGGTAACAATCAAACGCTACCACTTGCTTGGGTAGTAGTTGAAAAGGAGAACAAATGCACATGAACCATGTTTGTCAAGTGCATAAGAGATGATTAGGGACTTGGAGATGGGTCACACTTTGATTACAGACATGCAAAAGGTATGTGAACTCATATTTTGTAATTTTCAATTTATATATGTAATTGCAACCTAATCATCATCTATTGCAGGGAATGCCAGTAGCAATTACAAATGTACTACCTAAGTGTGATCATAAAATGCGTGCTAAACAAATATTAGCTAATTGGGATAAGGATTGGAGGGGTCATCAAAGAAGACAAAATTTTTGGAATAGCTAAGAGTACATATGGGTCTCAATTAAGGAACAAAATAGAGATGATAAAGTTGTTAGGTCCAAAAAAAATGATGGATAACTTAATGTACTAAAACATTAATTATTGGTGCAAAGTATTCTTCTATACCGAAGTAAAGTGTGATTCAATAGACAACAACATGTCTAAGTGTTTTAATCATGGATATTGGCTGCTAGACACAAGACCATAATTACTATTTTTGAAGAAATAAGAGTGAAGATGATGACAAGAATAGGCAGTTTAAGGGAGTTCCCTAGTACTTGAAAGTGTAATTTCTCTCAAATGTCTCTGAAGGTTTTAGAGGAGAACATTAGTAGGTCTATGGACTGTACCATTGAATTTAATGGAGCTGCTGGATTTGAAGTGAAAGAAGGGCTTTGTCAACACAAAGTGGATATTGCTAGGAGAACCTGTAGTTGTAGGGTGTGGCAGTTAAGGGGAATACCATGTGCACATGTTGTGGCTACATAATACTTTAAGAAAATTTCTCTTTATGACTATATAGACAACTACTACAGTAAGGAAACTTACTTGATGACTTACGCCAATGTTATTGAACCACTCATAAACATGGATTGTGTCCATTTTCTACAAACCTCACTATTGAGCCACCAGAAATCACAAACATGCCTGGTAGGCCACCTAAGGCTAGAAGGAAAGAAGCTTGAGAAACTAAGAAATCTGGGAGGCTTCCCAGGACTGGACTTGCAATATATGTGGTGTTAGAGGCCATAAAAAGAGAGGGTGTCCTCAAATAGAAGGTGTTGAATCATCAAAAAGACAAAATGCACCATCATCTACTGCATCAGTAAGGGCAAAACCAACATGTTCAGGCATGGGAAGAGGCAAACCAAAGGTAATATTTGAACTTGTTTTAGTTTTTCTTACTTTATGACTTACTTTTTATTTCATATGTATAGAAAATACCATCAGCACTATCAAAAGGTGAGCCTCCAATAAAAAAGGGAAGAGGAATACCCAAAAAAAACATCATCAGTAGCACCTAGTGCACCTCCCCTACCTACAACACTTACTGATTTTCCTGCATCCTCTTCTGCTCCTCCTACTTATCATGCATCATATTCAATAGCTGGTAATACTAAAAGAGGAAGAGGTAGGGGCAGGGGAAACATATCTCCAGAGAAAATACCAAGAGTCATGGGAATAGTGTGTTTGAAGCTGCAAATGGCTTCAAAGTCATGAGTGTGAGTATTTGATTTATATTAACAACTTAAACATTGAATTATAATCCTAATTTTGTTTAATTAAACATTTTAAATATTGATATAGTCTTAATTTTACTATATCCTGGTATGCCAAATAGTAAGATCTACTCTACTGGACAAGCAAGAATGACAAGATCATCTGATGTAACTGGTGACATTGGTTATACTCCAAGTAATACAACTAAGCTGAAATGGAATGGTAAATCACTAATCTCAACAAGCAAGCTTCATGAGCTTAGAGAGAAGCAAAGAAAGAAGACAATGGGAAGTAGTTCAAGTCAAAATGACACTTCTTCACAGTCAAAGATGCCATGAATTTAAGCACTTTTAAGTTAGTGGCCTACTATTTTGAATTTTTGTTGGTAAATTTTGCCTTATGAACATGATTTTATTTTGGTAGATTCTGCATTGTGTGAGGCGTTATTTTAATAAATTTTGCCTTATGTGAGGCCCTTATGAATGAATAATGATGTTGTGTATTAAAATGGTTGTTGTGTTATCTATCAAACTATATTGGCTATTACATATGTTGTGTTGGTTATGTGTTTTACAAATGATGTTGTGTTGTCTATGATGAAGTATGAATAATAACTAGGTTGTTGGTTGTTGATGAAGTGTTGCATATTAATTGAAGCTTCAATTGACATCATAGATACAAAATGACACACATACAGTGACAATTCATAACAACAACAAATCAAAGAGAAGTCCAGATATACAGAACTACTGGTCGCTAATGAACATAACAACAACACAAATTACAAAAGTATCTTCCTATTGAACCTACACCATTTCAACCTTCTATTGAGTCTCCTCTCTAATAACTAATTAGAGTTCCTCAAGTTGTTAATACGAACATGTCTATTACATGATTCTTGCTCCAACTCATTTATTTGGTTCACCAATCTTGGAAGGATAAAACTTGATCTTGGATCCACTTCTTCTTTGTCCTTCCAGTCACACCCGGATTCTGCAATCCGAACGCGACTGGTGTTGTTAACCTCTCAGAGATCGCAGACAAACCTTTTCTTAGCTTTCATCACAATCATACAATTAAATTTGTGGAAAATTTAAAACTATTTAAAACTTAATGAAGTATACTTAGACTTCATGTAATTACTGCATAAGAGTGATATGCTACGACTCAAACTAAACAACCATCTATAATAGATTAAACAATTGAAATGAAGAATTCATAATATAATAATAGTTTTCCAAACAACATTAATACAAACGCTTGAAATGAAACGCTAGGGAAAACATCCACTAGCTATGTCTAATGTACTAAAGCTAGAATAATAAACGTAGACATCCTCAAACTCAAGAGGACCTACCAAAGTCTGGAGATCGCTAATCCAAACCGCTTCAACGAATCATCAATCATCTCTCGGACCTGCACCTATAAAAATAGTAATAGTATATGGGTTAGAACACATTTGTAATAAGTATGGGTGTACGCACATAAACACATAAAGACTATGCATGACCAATGAAAGCTCTTCCTATAGTAACATGCCATTTCTAAAAAGTGAATTCACTATACTTTTCTAATTCATTATTTGTAATTCATGCTATGAATATGACATGTTTTCATTCATTTAAAGCACACAACTCATTTTCTATATGAACATAAGACGTTGGAATCATGAACATAGTTTTAGAACAACTCAAACAAAAACTTAACAACTTTGCTCCCTAAGGCCGAGAGATTCTTCTCCATGCCTTAATTTATTTTTCAGTATTTTGCCTTCTTCTTTTTGTTTAGTTCAATGATCTCATTTGATCCTATGTTTTACTTACAAGTGCAATGATTCATTGTAGTCCCATACCTACAATGAATCAAGTAAGTAATCCAAAAGACCAAGGAAATGATTTGACTAACCTTACCACAAGTTATTTTTTTCATTCTTGTTAAATTGGGCATGAAATCTTCATAACCCAATCTTTATTGGCTATGCCCATTATTTAATCATTTTGGATAATACAAAGTTGCTCGGACACATATATTCTTATTATTGGATATGCCCATTATTTGATCATTAACATAATATAAGAAGTCATTATAAGCCAATCTTTATTGGGTATGCCATGTTAAAACTTCATTTTTATCAAACACTGATGATTGATATTCTTAAGCTCTTGCTTTCTTAGTTCACTTTGTACTTACATTTCTTTTTCTTTGTTTCTTACTTTCTTAAAGAATTCTTTAGCATTAAGATCATGTGAGCTAACATGAAATCCAGTGTCTTCCCCACACTGAAAAGTGGTGGTTCACCTATAAAAGTGAACCTAGATCATGTGAGTTAACATGAAATCCAGTGTCTGCCCCACACTAAAAAGGGGTGGTTCACCGGATAAAGTGAAACCAAGTCAGTGTCTTCCCCACACCGAAAAGAGGTGATTCACGGCTAAAGTGAAATTGAATACATTCTTTGAGCATTAACCGAAATAGATCATGTGAGATAAACATGAAATCCAGTGTCTTCCCCACACTGAAAAGGGGTGTTTCACCTGCCAAAGTGAAAATGAACACTACATATCTCTCTTAGGTGGAATCCACCGGCTAGTTCTATGCTCTCAACATAGTTCAAAGACTAGGAGATTTCGAAGACTACTTATCCACCTTGGTGGTAGCCTCATCTCATGAGGCTTATATGTGCTTGCACAAGATCATTGCTAGTCTATCGGTGATTTTCTCAATTTCTTATTATTATGGAAGCTTGCTTCTAATATTAGGTATGCTTAACTCAATGGATGACCTGTCATCTCTTTCTTTACTTGATGAATGTGAACATAAACCTTACATTATCACCATGGTGTTAATGAGACTTGTCTCACAATTTCTAACACCCTCTTATGTGACTATCTTTAACATAGCTCAATGGATGACTCATCACTCCTTTCTTTACTTGATGAATGTGAACTTAAGTCTTACATTATCATTATGCTGTGGGTGAGAATTGTCTCATGAATTCTAACACCCTCTTATGTGAGTATCTTTATCATAATCGTTTAGGTGCAAGTGAGACTTGTCTCACTTCTTTTAACACCCCATTCTGGTAAGTTTAATAACTCATAAGCTTTTAGTTATGTCATTACTCAGCTTATCTTGTTCAATGTCTTTGGTAGTCTTGTACCGTTATTTATGAAAGTTACGGAGACTCTTTGCTGATTTTCACAATTTCATTTAGATAGGGTATGTTTGGACTTGTCCCAATCATTGGCATACCCTGGGTTATGAGTTCATTGAGTTACATTTTGTCAAGTCAATCATTAACATGTATTTGGCCTTACAAGATACATCATAATTTATATTGGCCATGTAAGATTGGTATGATTTAGTCATTAGATAACTTTATATCATATTTTGGAAATAATTTTGTAAGCCAATTTATTGGCATAAGCCAAACTTTCACTAAACATTGTCATGATATTATCATGGAAGCTTTCTTCAGTTAACTTCATGTATGTACTATAATGATCTCATCATTTTAAGAAAGCCAACTTTTAACATTTGTTTTGATTAGATTATACGAATAATTCAGTGCTTAGTTTGGCTAAGCTAAAATCGAAAACTTCATTCTTTTTAACAATAAACTGAATTTCATAAACGACTTATAACAATTTCATCTTCTCGAACACAATTAGGCATTAATCATACGGATCTAACCTATAGGTCCCATTTGACATTATTAAATCATAGAAACCTACACATAATGATCAGTTAGCACCACATACTAACAACATGCTCGAGATTTTGCATTACACATACTACTAGAATCAGAAATAGGGAGAAAGGGAGATGAACATTCAAAACTTTCATCGGGAACAACCATAGTTTGGTTTCTTGAATACAAAATGTTTGAAAAGCCTCTTGGGGAAAGTAAACCAAGAGAGAAAACCCATACGTTACTGTAGAATTGAATCTACGAAGATCATCTTGCACTTTTAACGAATACCTTGAAGAATTGCCTTGAAATTGCCTTAGGAGAATCGAGAGATTTTCTGTTTTTCTCACGTTTGTTCACTGTTTTAAGTCATGAGTTTCTATTGGTTAAACATGAGTATAAGTCTTAGGAACTGATATTGACTAATTCAACTTAAGCTAATTAAGTTAATTAAATAAATCAATTCGTTAATTACCAAAACGCCCCTCCTAAATTGACTAAAAATAGGAGAACATTTGACTTAGCCAAATCTGGAATTTTCTAAGGGTTTTGGCTAAGTCCATGATTTTTAATTAATTAATTAAGTTGATAATTTAATTAATTAAGTTACTTAGGGTAATTATTAAAGTACCCCTAAGTAATTAAGACCGTAATCAACTGCTTTGGACCATCCTAGGTTAGGTACTAGGATGTTTCTTGAGTTAGTTACTAGGCTAGTGTCACCCGATTATGTCTTAGGGTTTCGGGGTGCACTAGTTAGTTAATTTCGATTAGTCCTAGGTTAGTTATCTAGTTAGGTAAGTTTGTTAGAGCCTAGAGTTAGTTAGGAAGCTCATCCCCACATGAATTGACCCCCACATGTGCACCTAGCCCTAACCACCTTAACCAAATTCGATTGGGCTTGTCTCTTGGACGGCTATCACATGTGCTTGCACATGTGTTGAACATGTGTTGCTGTACTTTCCTAACTAACTATTATGGAAGGTTCATTTGGAATGTTTACTTATTGTCCCAAGGATCCTAACTATGTCCTTGGGCACTTCTTAATCTACATGATCATTTTAAGTGGTCATGTGCTATGGTACCTAGGCTTGACACTTGGATGCCTAGTACATAATGTGTTAAGTTGAGAATCAACAATTTTAGCATAGGGTATTCATTCTAGGTACAATTCTTAAACAAGCTTGGATAATATTTTAAATACTTGTGTATACACAGAAATTGGCTAACACCCTTAAGCTAATATTCTATAATATGCCCAATATTTCTCAATATTGGGCATTGGGATGCCTATGTACCCAATACACATTCTTAAAAATTTACTAGGATCTTCACTAGACATGTACATTTTCTAGAATGTTATATTATCTTTCTTTAGGAACATTCGTCTCCGAATGACACTACACATCATTTGAATCAAAGAGGGTATTTTCGAAAAACATATCACATATTTGAAACTTTACTCTTTGTGAATATATGATTCACAACTTACTCTGGATGATGCACATCACTGAAAGCTTATCTGAAGCTTTATATATGAGATTGAGGAACTTCCTTCTCAATCTTACTTTAACTTAATGCACATCACAACTCATGTGACACAAAAATCATGTCAACACTATACGAAAACAGCAAAATGAATGGAAGCATCAACTCATAATAACTCATATAGTGCAAGTATAAAACACACTGTTATGGACTTAAAACACCAAAACCGACTAATGCACTAAAATTTAGAGTTTCATAAACATAATCAGAATTAGGAAGAGTATATCTAACCTCAAGAACTGAACAAGTGAGGTTAACAGGATCTCATATCAGCCTCGGCCTCCTATATTACTCCCTTAACAAGGTGGTTCCTCTATACCACCTTTACGGTGGAAACCTTCTTGTTCCTCCACTGCTTCAGTTGGTGATCTAAAATTTCAACTGGAACCTCTTCATAAGAAAGGTTCTCATCGACTCCTAACCCCTCAAAAAGCAGAATGGATGATGGATAAAATAGACACCTTTTAAGCATCGAAACATGAAACACTGGAGGAACAAAAGCCAAGTCATTTGGTAATTTCAGTTCATAGGCAATACTCCCCACTCGTTGTAAGATCTCATAAGGACCTATATACCTTGAACTCAACTTCCCTTTCTAAGGTCATGATACATTTTGGTGGCGCCCGGATGTATAGAATAGCGAGAACCATGGGATTCTTCTCACTATAGGAACTAACTTAATAGAAGGAATTTCACATTCTAGGTCCTTAATTCTCATCACATGGTTTAAAAACCCTTGTCTATCATCTTACAAGACTTCAAACAAGAAATGATTTGACCCCTTGACATATAATTTCCCCCTTTCCACTCTAAAATGGGTTCATTAGGGATTTGAAATTTCACTACCCTTGTTCTACAATCTATGGAAGCAAAACAATTTTGAAGCCCATCCATACCCAAGGTGATATCAAAATCAAACATGTCAAGTTCTATTGAATTAGCAAGAGTAAATCTATTTGGCAGCATGACAGGGCATTTCCTATAGACTCTTTTTGCAACTACAGAGTCACTCATTGGGGTACAAACCGAAAAGGTTTCAATCAAAAAAATCGTGAAGTACATCAAACTTCCTAGCTACCAAAGGTGTAACAAAAGAAAGAGTAGCACCTGGATCAAGCAATGCAGACATTTACAGATAAAACTTGTAACATATTCTCACAACGTCGGGAGAGCTTTCTTGTTC